ATGCACAACAGATACATTTCAGTGAGGAAAGAGTTCGCTCACAATATACCGGTACTTTATGTGTGGTATATGGACCATGCTTGTATAATAGTGTGGGCTACATCAGAAAGGCAAGGCACAGTTAGGTCAAAGGTTACAAAAAGCAACAGCAGTTAAACTGTTGTTGGATAAACAATGGTGACGGTTCAATCAGATCAAATCAGGAATACTTCTCAAGTAGATAGTTATATATGGTTGATTAATGTAGGTTTGGTAGGATAATGGTGATTCCTGTGGTTATTTTGTCAATGACACATGGAAGGAGAAAATTATGGTAAATTTGGGTATAATCACACGGCATTTTAATGCTTGTTGAAAGAAAGAAATGCAAAAATGAGTCAAACAATGTCTATCGATTTAGGGTGCTATTGTCTTACAATTCAGTTTTAGTGAAATTCTGGGGGTTAGAAGGTCGCTCTCTTATTTATTTCATTATATCCTAATATAAGTGTCCCAGCCAGTAATATCTGTGAAGCGGCTTGATGTCTTATAATGATTTAGAGTGTAAGTCGGTTAATGCCCTCTGGCTGGTGCATGGGTAATCATGCAGAGGTAATGCAGCCTGTTCTAAGTTCTCTGGGCCCTGGCCATCTGCGTTGCACATCCAGTTGCATCAGTGCCCTAGGCAGGTGACAAACTGATATCACCCCTCAGCTTAACTGTCCCCAGACTTATTCAGCCTGTGTTGCATTTGTGATTGACATGGCAATGGTCACACTGGCCTTGGGGAAAGTGGGTGCAAGGCCCCTCCCCGAACTGTTGCATCCCACATCCGATGTGCTCCCATGAACTCAACAGAAAAAAGCCCTTTTTTGCCCATGGGCTATGCAAGATGTTTAACAGGGCATGAACAGGGATTCCATTCTAGTTGTGTACCAATAGAAATGGTGATTCATTTCCTCCAAGAGTTCTAGATAAGATAGCTTACATATCTTTGTTTTGAATACCAAAAAAGGTGCAAATATTTTCTGATCAGTGTCCGAGAGTCAAGTGGTTTACATGTGTACTTTCAAAGATGTGCCACGACCAAATGGTTGACTACAGCTGCGATCAATGCACAAAACATGGAAATTGGCTGCAGCCACTTTTCTTATGTGTGTGTGTAATTCTTAACTGGGCTGCTTGAAATGGCAGTTGGCTGCGGTGCACTGGGGGTCACACTGACCAATCACAGGGCTCCTCATTATTTATGCCCAAATTGAAGGAAGACAAGCAACAGCCATCGGGTACCACTGTCTCTTGACACTGACCACCGTTCTTGATGGCATGTAGGGGTGTACCCTATGAATTGCTGAGCAACTGCAGTACCAACTTCAAGGGAGCTGAATCTGAGATTTGTCAAGCCTCGAAAGACATGGAGTGAGTATTGGTTCAGCAACTGGCCAAATACAGAGTCGTCTCCAAGTTCAATTCTCCCAATGCTCTACATTTTGGTTGGCTGTGGGAGCGGGAAGTGTATTCCATTAAAACTGCTCTTAGAAGAGTATTTGGACACCGGACTGTGCAAGAGGTTGTTCTGCGCACTGTCCTCACCAAGGTTGAAGGAACCATGAACTCCAGTCCCCTGGGCTATGCATATTCATAGCTTGCAGATATACACCTGGTCACGCCCAACATGCTTCTCATGGGGCAGCGGGGCCCTGCACTACCAATGATTATTGTACTTGGCACCATAGTCAAGATCAGTTTTGATGACAGTTTGTCTGCTCTTACCTCCCTACCTTGCAGGCTCGCCAGAAGTGGAATTGGGGAGTCGACAACCTTGCTGTTTGAGACGTGGTAAACTAACACAATCTCAGGGGCCAGTACGCAAGGTTGAAGACCTCCTCTTTGGCAGTGATGGCAGGATGTACAAGCGACTATTGGCAAGACTTGAGCGGCTGTCGAAGTATGATGAGGCTGCGGCTTCTACAATGAGGACGTTGCTTACCCAAGCACCCATCACCTTCAAACTGTATAGCCATAGTTTTTAACCCCAAGCAGTTGTTACCTTCAGACTGTATAGTCACAGTTTCCATTCCAAGTGTTTTGACTATCAATTTTTTTTTAATGTTTACTGTTAGAGGTCTTCCTACGGCGCAAATTCC